AAAAATGCGCTGAATATGCGTTCTGTGTGAATGGCTTGGTTTCGGTTTTAACCTAATCAAGATCTTCTCATTGAGCTTCTATATTTCTCTAATATTTTGAATGAATAACTCGGCAGTGGCGCGTCTCGTGGGCAAGACTAAACAAAATATTAAAATGCAACAATGTCACTTACATCATTATCACCGCATCTTGTGCGCCACTGATGATGCTCCCTGACCCACTCCTAACATTGAAATGTAAATGTTTATTTTAAATTCGACAAATATACATTTTTTTTTATTCACAATCTCCTCATCACAGGCAGGCACAGCACTCAATTCAGCATGTGTTCGTTTTTGTGTGTGCTGTCTGCGTCACTCAGAGCACGTGCCTATATTTTTTATATTGTTAGCGAAGAAGGTGTACTGTCGATAAATATCGATACCGTTTTATCGCCTAGGCCTAATTTAAAGGATTTACCACTGACGATTCAAATGCGAGTTTTGAGCAGTGTAGAGTAGCGCTTGTTGTTTGTATGGTAAGGGGCGTAAACAGGGGTGCCGCAAAGGAGGGCATCTCTGGGGGCCCCCAGAGATCTGTTTTATTAGTAGTGTCTACAAATTCATACTCTGATTACATAGAGCAGCAGCAGGAAGTGCTGAGGTTGTCATGGCAACCAGATACACTGCACCCGAATTATTATTTAATTATTTTGCCACCGTTTGCCACACTAAACTTAGCAATAAACACGTTGAAAATAATACACAATAAACATGTCTGTCAAAACGATCTCAAAGGAGGCTTTTATTAAGCAAATCAAGGAGTGAATTTCTCATCCTCTGTTTTTAAAACAGACATTTGTAGGCCTTGATTCAAGTTAATGCACAATGAGGCGAACACTTTTTATTTAGTCTTATTGAATAGACAGTTTATATTCTAAAATCTATTTAAAGGTTGTGTTCTGTGAAAATTAAATAACATTTGGATGTAAATGGTCGGCATAAAAGTAGTGTGCGGCTAAACCTGCTGCGTCCTGTGGATCACCTTTATCTGATTGTCAGAGTCCGGAATCATTAAGCACGGCATTAATATCTTCATCAGAGTTTTTCGTTGTCTCCAGATTTCTCTGCAGTTCGTGTATGTTGTTAAAAACGCAGAACATCATTTTATTCCACACAACAGGCAAGCATTTCCCAGCTGAACACCTCTGGTGTGACTTTAAATACAGACCTTGAGTCAAAAACTCATCACCACACACCAATGACTTGTACATACGAACAAAAGTATTGGGACACCCCCTTCTTTAGAACAGAAAAAGGCACTTCCAAAATTGTGGCTTCAAAGATGGAAACATAATTCGTGTATTTAAAAATTGTATTTCCATCTTTTTTGCCACAGTTTTGGAAGTGTCTAAAATGATTGTACGAATATGTACAAGTCATTGGTGTTTGGCGATTGTTTTTTTTTTAGTTTTATTGAGTTTTCCCAATACTTTGGGCAATATAGTGTATGTTTGGTGCGGTAGGGGGCCCAACCTCATATTCTTTCAGAGGGCCCAAAATTGCTAGCGCCCCTGGTTCAGAACATCAGCTCGATGTGCCCACAGGCCTCACCTCATATTCTTTCATAGGGCCCAAAATTGCTAGCGGCGCCCCTGGGTGTAACATTTCCATCACACGCTTGAGGTATTCGGCCAATCACAACGCACTGGATAGTTGGCCAGAGCTAATCAGAGCACAACTCGCTTCCTCAGAACGATGAGCTTTGTAAAAATCGACGCGTTTCAGAAAGGCGGGGCATAGAGGAGAAACAATAATGTACAGTATGTGGAAAATAATGTGTTTTTTTAACCTTAAACCGCATAAACACATTTCATTAAACCAAATACACAAAATAATGTTCTTTTTAGCAACATCATATGACCCCTTTAATAGTAAATTAGCTCCTCTAGTTTTTTTTATATATATCTAACTAACCAACTAGGAACACTTTATAACGTTCCTGAGGTAAATGCAATGTTAAGTGACATTGTTCACAAGCTATTTATTAATGTCTTTCTCTGGTTGAAATACTGATTGAGACTATTTCTACACACAAGTTGCACGTTTTCCACCCCTTTTGATTTACAGGATATAATCGGCCCTGATTGTCAGCTTTTTTTAAACAATCGGCCATCTGGTGCAGATGCTTTTATCGGTCGATACATCAGTGCATCCCTATTAAAAATCGTTTTTTTAACATTGAGTTTTGCCATATTTACGCAAAGTTTCACTTTACTTGACCGTATGTAAAAATTGCAATATATAATTTCTGGATCAAAATAGTTCCAGAATGCAGTTCTTAGATTTAGATGTACTTTTTCATTGTGTTCAAGGTTAACATTCTCTCTCGGAGAAGGTGTCAATCTGGCAGTTGGTGTGTATGTGTTGGCCAGGACTGCCACCAAACCTTCTGCTGTCAAGCTTCACAGAGATACTAACGAACCAGTGCGCACTAAAACCCGTTACTTCCATGCCCATAATGGGGGGATACTTTTGCCAAATGATATGAAGAGGGCACAGGTAATCAGAATCAATACTATCACAAAGCTATAGTGTAATTTGCTCTTTGTGTCCCTTTTATCTAAAAGTTTCCATATTTTCTTATCATACAAAATTGACTACTTTCTATGAAGGTTTATGGGAAGAAACAGATTGTGATGGAAAAGGATGAGGTGGATGAGATTAAGAAATTTGATGATCCAGGTTTGGTTCTGATGGGGTTTAAGCCCATGGACCGTCTCAAACTGCACCATCATATACGGCCCGTGCTCTTCATATACCCTGAGGAAGAGCAGATATCAGGCAGGTCTTCATTTGCTGAGGTCTTGAGCCTAAGCACCTCCTTCAGTTCAATCCAGTTGTTTTATGAACTGATTTTTTTTTCTCATTTTGGAAAGCTGATGTGCAGTTCTTTCTTTTTTTTCTTTTGTTTACCCTAGGAAGCTCCTGTATGTTTACAGCTCTGCTTTTGAAGTGCAGTGAAAAAAATTTATTTGCATTGTGCAGATACATTCCTCGTTGTAACACTCCACCTCGGTTTGTGGCACTAGTTCCACAGAGAGAAGAACTGGATCAGGGTCAAACTCAGGCGACACCTCCAGGTAACTGCAATCAAGACTGAACAATTTTCATTTACACTGAACGTTACTTTCAACTGTATGGCTAACTGATCTTTTTATATATATCAAATAGTAATATTAAATTGTGGGATCCTATGTTTTAGGCTTCCATGTGATATTTCTTCCCTTTGCTGATGACATACGCACTGTGGATGCTCACGTGGGCCCCACAGCCTCTGATGAGCAGGTGGACAAGATGAAAGAGATTGTGCACAAGCTCCGCTTTAAATACAAGTGTGTGGTTTTCTACAAGTTGTGCCCAGTGCATTCTTCAGTTATGGAGTTGTAGTTAATTTGTACTGTAAATCTTATGTTTTTATAGGAGTGATGCATTTGAAAACCCAGTGCTACAACAGCACTACAGGAACCTGGAGGCTTTGGCTCTGAATATGCTTGAACCCGAGCCCATTGAGGATTTAACCAGTATTTCTTGAGATCCGAAATGTTTTTAATGGATAATTGTTCTATTTTAATTCTATTACTGTCTCACACTCTGTGTGTTCCCTCAGTGCCCAAGGTACAAATGATGGATGCTCGTCTTGGTCCACTGGCTCAAGAGTTCAAAGATTTAGTCTATCCTCCTGATTATAACCCAGAAGGGAAGCCTGCGGCTAAACGCAAAACTGGTGAGATTTCAAATGGTCTTACATTAATGTAAAGCATGAGTCGGGTGTAATTTTCGGTATTTGAGCTGATAAAAAAAAAAAACATGAATGAAAAAAAAAACGCTGCATTTTCAAATACATTTATTTCTTGTGTGGATAGTTTCCGACAGCACTGCACAAGCTAGTGGCACCATAGACTGTAAAAAAAGATGGACGACGCGTCTCCACTTCCTTCCACTATAGAAAAGGGAAGCCAAATCATCTCAGTATGGCCGCTGCCATCTTGAGTAAATGACGTCATTCGGAGCCAGAGTCTGTGCAGTAGAGATTCGTTTGGAGTCGGAGTCTGCGCAGTAGTGTCGTGAGGTGGAGCCGCGGTATCAAACTCCCGCCGACCCAATCAACCATAACGACACGCCCCGTTTTTATAGCATCAAATTACTAGCTAAAATCAAACTTATCACAAAAACGAACAATTGAACATATATCAGCGTTATAACAACTACCTTAAATGACCAAAACCATCTTTCTGAAAATTGTATTGGAAGTGTAATTCATTGTTTTATTTTGACTCAAGTCCCATTCGTTTACATGGAGAGGGCGGGGTTTATGACCTGTACTGCAGCCAGTCACCAGGGGGCGATCAAAGAGCCCGCAGCTTCACTTTTCAGGACGTGTGAGGCACACCCGAGTGGCACCATCAAACCGCTCAGTGCAGAACACCCTTAGAATCTCAGCCAGAGTACTCCATGTTCTGGTAAGGGGAGGGGGGTCGGGGGGTTTCAGGAGCTAGGCTGTATGCCATGGAAGGTCAGCAAGCAGAAAGGAGAAGCCATCGGTGGACGCGGGTCCGAGCTAGAGGATAGGCCGAATGCTGGAACGCCCCCCACCTCGTCACAACCTCCCACCATTTATCATGAAAAGCAGCATCGGGAGCTGTGCGCTCTGCACGCCCTAAACAATGTCTTCCAGGACGGCGCGGCCTTCAGCCGTGATGCACTTCAGGACATCTACCAGAGGTCAGTGCTAAGATTATGTATTGTTACTGAGGTGATCTAATTTTGGATTTTTTTTGGGCACACTTCTGCTTCCTCTTTCTTTTTCAGGCTCTCCCCTAGCACTTTGGTAACACCCCACAAGAAAAACATGCTGGGAAATGGCAACTATGATGTGAACGTCATCATGGCTGCATTGCAGACACGTGGGTTTGAGGCTGTTTGGTGGGACAAGAGAAGGTATTTTATTATGCTGTTGTAGTTTTAAATACATCAAAAATATAGTCCAAAACATGTGGCAAAATCTCTTTTTGAATTATTGTTTGTTTCATATGGTTTTGAAAAATTTACATATCTTAAATTCAACATGAAACAGACATTTCATAAGTATAACCAAGTAAAACTGTAAACTGAATGGAGTGTTTTGATTTTGTCCACTGGAAATTGATTGGATCGTTTGATCCTTTTCGTTTGCAAATTGCTGCAGTTTCATGTGAGTGACAGATCACTGGATGAGATGGATTATTGTCCCGTCCTCACACTGGTGCACAAGTCATCAGAGATGAGATGTTTGTGTTTTGATTTAACATTACAGGGGCACATGAATAAATAAAAAACAAAAAGCCATTTAAAAAATAGAATTGTGAATTTTGAGTTCATGGTGATTTTAACCACTTTCAAAAAATGTTTACAAATATTTTCAAGATTGTTTTAGAATTTATTGTCAAGATTTGTTTTTTTTAAATATCTTGAAGCATTAATTATAAATATTACATTTTTGGTCACAGCACATGATATTTTATAACACAAACTAACCTGCCTTGTGATAAAAGGTCAAGTTATTTGATATTTTAAGAAACTTATTGACCTTTACACACAGTCATGAGGGTCTGCCAGGTTCCTCTTTATGATATAATTTCCTGTTTTATGAACCACATGACTTGACTTGGGCAAACAAAAAAGTTTAAGATGTTAAAGCAGTGAAGCACTTCTGCTAATTAAAGAAAGAATACAATTATTCATTTTTTAACACCAAGACTGTGGTATCCAATTTATTAACACAAAATATAGGAAAATACAGGGATAGCCCACCCTAAAATGAAATGCATACATGTCATTCCAAACCTCTATTTCTTTCATCTGCAGAACACAAATGAAGATGTTAGTAACATTTTGATAAGCAAACAGTTTTGGTTCCCATTCACTTCCATTGTATAGACAAGAAATACAATAAAAGTCAATGGGAATTGAAACTGTTTGGTTACCAGCCTTCTGCAAAATATCTTCTTTTATGTTCCACAGAAGAAAGTCATACAAGTTTGGTCAGTGTCAGTAAATGATGGAATTTTCATTTTTAGGTGGGCTATCCTTTTAATTTTATATTTTTTAATTGTATAATTTTCAGAAATTAAAAACCTGCTTAGCAAAGAAGAGGTGTATTCTAGCATTGTATGAGTTGCATTCATCTTTTTTAATTGTTGCTTTTGTTTTTTAATAAATGAATACAGATGTGACATTTATTTTTAAAAATATTTTTCCTATGTATTTGTCATGCTATAGGGATGTCGGCAGCATTGCACTGCCGAACGTCACTGGATTCATCTTGAATGTGCCATCCAATCTGCGCTGGGGGCCGTTGCGACTGCCCCTCAAGCGCCAACACTGGATTGGAGTTCGAGAAGTGGGAGGAGTCTACTATAACTTGGACTCCAAACTGCGCAGTCCTCATGCTATCGGAACAGCTGATGAACTGAGGTAAGTGTGAAATGCTAAAGGGAAAAGTAGCAGTCGGTTTCAATGCCAAGCTCTGTTTTTTCCCTCTAGCTATCGTTCTGATTGTTTCACAGGAAGTTTTTGCGTCACCAGCTTCGAGGGAAGAACTGTGAACTCCTATTGGTTGTGCCAGAGGAGGTGGAAGTCCACCAGACGTGGAGGTCTGATAACTGATGAATGTTTTGGATCGTTTTTTTGTTGTTGTTTTTTTGTTTGTTTTGGAGGTTTCTCAAATTCATGCTCAGGAGGGAAATATGAGGTTCAATCAGGGACCCATTTAAAGAGCAAATGGAGTTGCACTCAACTAGTCATGAAAGCACACTGCTCAGACTTGTTTACACACTCACTCACACACACGCTGGACTCTTGCCATGGAGACTGAAGCAGCAAAGGACACACACAGGGATATCACAAGACAACAAAACACTACGCAGAGAATTTTGTTTGGTATTTGGGATTCTGATGCATTTTTTTATACATTGATTATTTCTTTTACTTTGTACTGTTTTCTGACTTGAAAGTGAGAGGTTATGGAATTATTAGTGATGTGTTCTCCTCGTGCATCAGCTGTCATCCTCGCCACTTTCCATGTGATTTCCCGTGCATCCATGTGATCATCTGAACTGTCCGCCACACATTACAGGTCACCGAAAAGGTATTCGTTTGACCAACTAGATTTTGTTTAACACAGGGGTGCATATGTACTAATTTAGTGCATGTACTTGAAGATTTAGAGAAGGAACACCAGTAGCCCCTGCTTAACCGTTTCCTACATATTTAATGGCATAGTGACAGATGAGATGTTTTCTGTGTATCACAGTACAGCATGGCACCACAGTAATTGGATGTTTTGTGTTAGTTTCCTATAACATACGTTACCAAAACGGTCACTTGTTAATCTCATACCTTAAACGGTTGCTCTGGACACCCTTTTCTTGTTGGACAGTTAAGGTTAGACTTGTTGAATCCTAGACTACATGTAGGAAAATAAAACAGGTGAGCATTGGTAGTAAAAAAAAAAAAAGTTCAGCTGCCAAAAACTGTGTTGTTAATTGAAACGGTTGTATGTACTTTTAAAATAGCAAATGCTGAAATAAGAGTTAGAAAGGTTGAGGTCTCTGAAATCTTGCAAAGTTTATTCATCTTTGATTGATATTGGATTAACATGGCCTTAAACTGTTTACAGAGGGAGCTGATTTACACAAAGGGAAGTCTAATAATGCATCTCAGGTTATCTTCAGATCCAACTTGATTAAATTTCACTTGTTAAACACCGATCTTCAACATATTATGGAAAACACTTCAAATAGATTATAGACACTCGAATCAGATACTACAACTTAAAAGGAACATTCCACATGTCCATACACAGGGTGCTTTGTAATACTGTAGAGATGAATAGATTCCTTTGCCATGACAATCTAAATCCCCACAATCCATTTTTCAGGGGGACGGGAACAACATGTGCTCATGCCATTGTTTTCCATTCAAATAAAATGCTTATGATGGCACTTTATGTATGATGTAAAATGTGCTGTGACATCATTAAAATGTCTTTGTATACTGTGTGGTGCTGCTTTTTATCTTCCAGGGGAATAATGGGGGTTTCACCAGGGGATTTCATTATTCAAGATGCTACAGACCACCAAATGTGATGATCTGTGTGAAGGACCCACATTCTAAATTAAAGGCAGATATATATATTTGTGTGTATACTGTGAAAAAAAATATTGTGTAAAAATATTATTTGGGAAATATTTCGCTTCTTCTATGTTGTTATTCTTTGTTTAATTATATTATTTATTTTTACAACTTTTTACATCGTTTTTTTTTTTATTTAGCAATCCCTTGTGTACTCCCTTACCTTTAAAAAAAGATCGTATTTTTGTAATCTATATGCTAGTTGTTAATCCGACCAACAGTGGCGCAAATCAATCCTCTGTGTGGCGCACGGGGGCGCACTGAGCGCTGCAGATGTGTCGCAGATTTAAAAAGTCACTGTACTCATCTAGTACAAGGAAATGGAGCAGTGCAAAGGATAAAATACTGAATGGTAAACAAGGCAGCGGAAGAGCGGGAACGTGTGCAGCCATTCTAACAGTGCATGGGATTTGCAATTCATAGTTACTTTAACGACCAGAAAGAAAAGCACAAAGACACATTGACAGCTACTTCGTTATTTTTAGGGGAACAACTTAACTGATGGAACTGTCGGCAATCGGTGAGCAAGTGTTCGCTGTGGAATCAATCATAAAGAAAAGAGTTCGAAAGGTAAGTGGCATGCGCGTGTAGCTAGCTGCGTGTTTACTGACGGTTCAATCTGTGCAATCCCGCTGCACACATACAACATGTAAGGGGCGAGGACACACTTAACAACAGCGTGGAAGTGTGTTTGTAGTCTAATAACTTCGATGATGACGCATGTCGCACAGCACGCTTTTGGAACAGGGCGGCGAGCATATTCGTAGTCATGGAGACTACGCACTTTTATTTCCCGGTGGGGGTCTAATAACTAACGTAAAGTTTGACCATTTAGATACAGCCGCTGAGGTTTATTTTTGATCTTAAAACGGCATTTGAGGTTATTGGTGCGAGCGGACGTGGCTCTCAGTTATTTTGAAGTAAAACTGAAACATGCGGTTAGCTTAAAATAACGCTCGTTGAATGAGCGTTACTTTTGGTCTCATATGAAATGTCAGGATTGAAATAGGAAGGAGGGGCTGTTAGTTTAGGGGTCGTCCCTCCTTAATTCTTTTATTACGAAACCTTGTCATTACGTCATCGCACACGTAACGTTACAAGACAAAAACAAAACATTCAGAAGAAATGTGAAAACGAAAAAAAACCGTACTTAAAATATAAATGCAGTATTGGTTTATATCTATTTTTTCTTTTTGTTCTAATGTTTAAGGGTCATGTCGAATATTTATTGAAGTGGAAGGGGTGGCCTCCCAAGTAAGTATTATTATTATTAATATTATTAATAAGGAAAATTGGAGAATAAGCTTAATTTCTTAATCATTTTATTTCCTGGTAGTTTTACAATTATTACTCTAGCGGCTAAGATGTTTTGTTTATTTATTTGCACGTCATGTCAATAAATATGTATATGTTTTAATGACATTAAAGGTACAGCACATGGGAGCCTGAGGAGCACATTCTAGACCCTCGACTGGTTTTAACGTATGAGGAAAAGTGAGCAGTTATAAAAATGAAACTTCCTTTTTCATTCTTTCACTTTCAGTCACTAGTACATGAAATCATTCACACCGCATTTTCTCATTATTTCTAATTGCAAACAGAGAACAGAGAGAAAGGTCAGTGAGGTGGCGTAAAAGAGGCCCAAAACCGAAAAGACTCTTCATGCAGGTAATGACCACTACAGCATCTTAATTACTGTGATTGTTTCCCTGCGAAATTGTCATTCAAATCTTGTCTATCCACTTATTTTAGTATTATTTATATACTATTATAGTTTACATTAATATTTTGAATTAACCCTTATTTTTTCATTTTAATTTTATAAAAAATTGTGGTAATTTTTTCATTTGTCAAAAATGCACTTTTGCCAGTTTTATTATAATTTTTTTGTATTTTTAATATATTACTATTTAGGTGTAATTTATTTTCATTTCAGTTTTAATTTTAGTACAGTTGTAGTTTTTATTTCCAGTTAAACTAAATGAAAATTAGAATTTTGCCTTGACTTCTAAGTGAAATAAATTTTCTCTCTAATATTTGTTTTATTTCAGCTTTATTTAAATTAACTAAAAATATATATAATTTTTTAGTTATTAATAATAATCCATTGTCTATCCACATATTGCTCTCTTGAAGAGAAACATTTACGCAATGGATCTACGCAGCGCACACAAAGATACAGAGAAGTCTTCAGTACATCTGCCGCTCTCGCTTGACCCAAGGTTCCAGTCCACAGGGGCTTGTATATATCGACAATTAACCCACCACAAGAAAAAGAAGAAAGCTTCCCGAGAGACTTCTGAGGAAGAATGGGATAGAAGAGAAGAAGAAGATGATGATGATGATGATGATGATGATGAGGGGGTTATGGAGGAGGAGGAGGAGGAAGAAAAAGAAGAAGAGGACACAAGACAAGGAGGAACTAAAACTGGCAGCAACACTTTAAACAGTAAGTATGTTAGTTGGTCAGAGGGCAGACATAGTTGTCACTATGACCTAAATTGATATCAAGACTGCAGTGCTCTTTGTCAGCCTTATTTAGGAAAAAAACTCTCTTGACACTAAATCACAACACGAAGTAAACAGCTCTATTTGAACAGATCCAGGTTTTTGTTATTGTTGTTGGCAAAACCCTACTTTAAAAACTTTTTAAAAATTATTAGCATTATATATGCAAAATGTGTTATGCTGTGTTCCAAGTCCTCCTGGGACGTTCGTACTTACGAGTTGACAAGTCGTAATTACTACGTCAGGTGCGTTCAAGTCAGTTTAGTCGGCACAAGATGGCGGTGTACCTTCTTTTAATAAATTACAAGAAAATACAACAGGGTCTATATTTTTTACTTGGATTTCAGTTGCGTAACAAGAACATGACCAATTTAAGTTCATAGGACAACTAAACTATCAATTTAAACAAAAATTTACCGTCAACTACAGACGTTACATCCATCGATTCCGCCATGTTTCTCATTGAAACGCCCCCAACTCGGAAACTCGGGGCTTAAAGGGGTCATATGATTCCATTTCATTTTTTCCTTTCTCTTTGGAGTGTTACAAGCTCTTGGTGCATAAAGAAGATCTGTAAATTTGCAAAGACTAAAGTCTCAAATCCAAAGAGATATTCTTTATAAAAGTTAAGAGTCAGCTCGTCGCTCCGGCCGGGACACGACATCAACTGTATGTGAGGGGCGTAACATTTCCGTCTCACGCTTTGAGGTATTCGGCCAATCACAACGCACTGGATAGCTGGCCAATCACAGCACACCTCGCTTTTTCAGACATGTTTGTGTTTATCCCATTTTTTCCCCCGTTGCATCTGAAAATTACTTTCAGAAACATTTTTTTTTTTTCAAAGAAATCTCTTATGCTCAGTAAGGCTGAATTTATTTGATCATGAATACAGTAAAAAGAGTAACATTGTGAAATTTTAGTTTTCTATTTTAATATATTTAATATTTCTATAATAATTCTAGTTGGTAATTTAGTAATGTTCATATTTTAATATATTTTAAAATGTTTTATTCCTGTGATGAGCAAGAACACATTAAATTGTGTTAAAAAGTGACAGTAAAGACATTTTTAATGTTACAAAAGATTTGCATTTCAAATAATTGCAGTTCTTTTGAACTTTTTATCCATCAATAAATCCTAGAAATTTTTTACGAATTTCCACAAAAATATTAAGCAGCAAAACATAGTTTGTTAATGGTAAAAACGAAGAAGAAGAAGAGTCCTAATAATAGATTACAATAATTATGCACTAAATCAACGTAGTAGAATGATTTCTGAAAGATCGTGTGGCACTGAAGACTGGAGTAATGGCTACTCTGCCCTCACAGGAATAACTTACATTTTAAATTCAAATAGATAACAACAATTAATTTAATTATTTTAAATCATATTAACATTTTACAATTTTACTGTATTTCTGATCAAGTAAATGCAGCCTTGGTGAACATAAGAGACTTCTTTAAAAAAAAATTTAAAAAAAGATTATATTGTGTATTGCATTGTATTTTGCATACTCCTGCATTATTCTTCACCCTTTTTAATACAATTAATAATTTGGGACACAACTACAGTAGTATTCAATTATTTGTGTTTTTAAAACTGAACTTGAGTGTCTAAAAAAGCATCTAAAACAGCACCCTATACAATACTTGTTTATAGTCAAGATTATTTAATATCTATAACACGATGAAGGTGTAAATATGTACAAAATGTACTCTGTCTCAGAGCGTGTCAGGAGTGGTCGCTGGAGTCCAACCACTGGGTCAGAGGCAATGACTATATCTCCTTTACCTGAAGACTGGAGTCCAGTTATGGGCCCAGAGGAGGTCATTGTGACAGATATCACCATCAACTCACTGACTGTGACTTTTAGAGAGGCCTTGGTAGCAAGGGGGTTCTTCAGGAGCTGGGAGATGGAGATCTGACATTACAGAGACTGAGGACGGTCAGAGCGAGGACGAAAGAGAATTGTACATCCTTTTTTGCATTGTTGATTATGTGCTTGCACAACTTCCGCCAGTGTTTCAGACTACGTTTATTTGCACTATTAGTTCTAACTGAGTTAAAACCTTTCAAAATGTTGTTTCAGTGATTACATTCAAAGTAACAGTAACAGGTCATGCCATTTAATGGCAATAACTGATAGTATGATGAGATTTTGAACTTGTATTGGCCGTGAAAAAAATCAATCCAGTTCTTTGATACTGGTTTTGATGGTGTTTTGCAGTGAAGTTTACAGATTCAACTAACTGGGATAAACCTTATTTGGTCTGGTCATGTATTTGCATGAAATACATAATGCTAGTTCAGAGTAGCACAATGAAGTATTCCTAAAAGCCAAGCTGTCACATATATGTCTATACATATTCACATTACATGTATGTATATATATATATATATATACAGTGGTGTGAAAAAGTGTTGGCCCCCTTCCTGATTTCTGGCTAGAGAAATTGAACTCAGGTGTGATAAACCAGTTTTAACAGGGGGGCAAACACTTCTTCACACAGGGCCATGTAGTTTTGAATTTTGTTTTCCCTTAATAATAAAAACCTTCATTTAAAAACTGCATGTTTTGTTTACTTGTGTTATCTTTGACTAATATTTAAATTTGTTTGATGATCTGAAACATTAAAGTGTGACAAACATGCAAAAAAATAAGAAATCAGGAAGGGGGCCAACACTTTTTCACACCACTGTATATATACTATATACTTGGTGAACATGTTCTAATCTTGACCTTCAATTTAAATTGCACACCTCACACAGTAAATTAGAATTAGTGGCCTCTTGATACTCAAAATATGTGAAATACAACTTTGGAAAATAGCATTTCAACACTTAGTGTGCCGTCCTTGACAGTTCATAAACAAAATATTATAGTGTGAAACAAAAAATTCTGGACTTCTTGCACAATTATGTTCTAATTTTTGAGCATAATTATGTGTATGGAATAAAGTTGCATTTTATTTTATTTTCCAACACTATCGCTTGCTAGTATCTCATCTATTTGCAGTGTTTGTGCAATTTATTTGTCCTGCCAAGTATGACTTGCACAGTAGTCTATGTTGTAGATTTCCCTTGACTGCTGTTTATTTCCAGTGTTTAGTCCAAGATGAAAACTGTGACCTGAAGACAAAAAAAAATCTATATTGAGGTGAATGTATATTTAGCCTCTAGGAACATCCATCTCTCAACTGTTTAATATCTGACTTCATGTGACCTGTATGTATTTGATAGACTATGTCTGTGCCAAATGTCTATGGTTGCTTTTGCTATTTAGAGTATTTGCACTTTAAAATGGAAAACTTGGTATTATGATGCCATTAATAAAACCTCGGTGTAACTCTATCATTATCCATTACTTTTTATATTTAATCAGCATTACGTAGCACTGTGTGGATTAATTTAGTCTCAAACCACCTTGGGTTGACATTGTTCCAGCTCCACATCTACAATATAGGAAGTACACCACACCAGAAGCCAATTATTTTTGAATGGTACAAACATATTTTAATGTACAATTAAATAATTGGCAAAAAAATCTGACCACCGTAACTTTAAAAAAAAGAACAGACAACCAACCAAACAGTAAAACTACTTTTCTGGTTTTACAGTCTGTTTTAGAAAAACAAGAAAGAAAAATAAATTTACAGATCAAAGCAAATTGCCATGGGTTGTACAGTGAATCATAATCTATATACCTCTATATGCACTCATAAGACATTTCCTTAAAATCCCATATTTCTCATTATTCCCAAAGTGGGACGTATATGTTATGACAGTAGTGTCATGTTGCATCAATACATCTTTGAAAGTGTAATTCAATATCAACTCTTGAATTAGCTTCAAGTTTTTTATTCTCAAAAATAAAATTATATCTATATATAGATATATATAACAAATATTGTTCTCGTTATTTATAAAATAAGCCATATTGCCTGTTTTGCATTCATCCAGCACCCCTTTAACCAAGGAAAACAATTCATTATAGGTTATTGTCATATCATCAAAAACACAATCTGCTTTTTAAAACTCTCAATAAGCCATATTGCCTCTGTTTTGCATTCATCCAGCACCCCTTTAACCAAGGAAAACAATTCATAGGTTATTGTCATATCATCAAAAACACAATCTGCTTTTTAAAACTCTCTTCCCCACTGTATTTGTGCACAGGATGGAGATAATGAGTCAGTGTTGGTTTATTACACACTAATGAAATCCTTGTAATGAAGTACACATACAAAGGCGCATTGGTGCTTGTCTGACTCGCTCCATTTATGTATAAAAATCTCTCAGGTTATGTCTAAGCTGCCCATAGTTCTTCAACTCAAAGGATCTTAAATCAAGAGGAAACGTGTCCATTTATCTCCATTCACATATATATATATATATTTTTTTTTTACAAAGACAACTCCTTTTCAGTAATTTATTTTCAGTTTTTGTTTATACATTAAGGAGATCACTTAAATCCCAAAGTTCAGAACACTAAAGATGCGTGTGAAGAGTCAGAACGATTCCTTGCGGGTGAGATGGGAGAGGAAAGAGAACGACTTGGAATCAGAGATGTAGTTCCAGGTGATTATTGGCAAAATCCAAAATCCTGCATCAACATTTAGTCTCAGTTAGAGTTCCCTGCACTTTCCTAAACACACCTGTAGTGTCACCAGGTTCCAGTACTGAGAAGAAGGGCATAGTGAAAACACATTCATGGGACAGGGGTGAGGGTGGGAAAACTGCGACATGCATAGGACAAATATTTCCCATGCAACAAGCCATCAGAAAACACATACTCATTTCCCAAACACTATCAAAACTTAATTTAAGCCCCATCCACCCCTCAAAAAAAGTAGAGAAATAAAATTTAAAAAAGGAAAAATAAAGTAGAATAAGAAAATAAATTCACCCTTTTATAGTCAGGTTCAATCAATAAAAAAAATATACTCTTCAAAAATTGTAGGTTCAAATAGCATATGCCATACACTGTCCAAAACAAAAGAACAAGAAAATATCTATTAGCCAACCAAAAGAGCAGAGTAATAAATAAGTTATTACCAATGCCATCATTTTCATAATCATTACACTGGTGAGAATAAATCTAATGCTCTCCAAAACTGATGACATTCTTGACTGTTTCAAGGAAAAAGAAAACAAAATAGTCCATTTTGTTTACGCATTTTGCTTTTTAATTTCATGCCACTTTTAAAATTTTTTAAAAATATCTATAAAAAAGGCAGACTTCTTAACCCCAAAAATATTTCTGGTCATATACCAAGAGGAAATATTTCCCATCCCTTAACCCAAAACCCTTTGAACACGATTGGCAAAAAATAGATTTATATATATTTATATATTAACAGCAATAACTTACCATTCATTTAACTTAATTTGTTGACTTGCACATGTAGTATCTCCCATAGGAAGTTCAGTTCTTTTCAATTACATAAGAAAAATATTAAATAATAATAATAATAATAATAATAATACTATCGATGACAGCCTTTGTAAAACCTAGAATTGCTACCAAACCCTGGCAATCATGACAGTTCTTTGAGCACTGCAACATTACATCAAATCTAATGAGTGATTCATATTCGACCCCATATCTTGGTTATCTGTCAGCATGTCCTTTGTCCCTTGCCCATGCAAGGCTCCCATCCCACCTAGCTGTGAAAGCATGGTACTCTGGTCTCCTCCAAATGAGCCCTGGTCCATCGCATTAGCCTTTTACAAAGACAACTCCTTTTCAGTAATTTATTTTCAGTTTTTGTTTATACATTAAGGAGATCACTTAAATCCCAAAGTTCAGAACACTAAAGATGCGTGTGAAGAGTCAGAACGATTCCTTGCGGGTGAGATGGGAGAGGAAAGAGAACGACTTGGAATCAGAGATGTAGTTCCAGGTGATTATTGGCAAAATCCAAAATCCTGCATCAACATTTAGTCTCAGTTAGAGTTCCCTGCACTTTCCTAAACACACCTGTAGTGTCACCAGGTTCCAGTACTGAGAAGAAGGGCATAGTGAAAACACATTCATGGGACAGGGGTGAGGGTGGGAAAACTGCGACATGCATAGGACAAATATTTCCCATGCAACAAGCCATCAGAAAACACATACTCATTTCCCAAACACTATCAAAACTTAATTTAAGCCCCATCCACCCCTCAAAAAAAGTAGAGAAATAAAATTTAAAAAAGGAAAAATAAAGTAGAATAAGAAAATAAATTCACCCTTTTATAGTCAGGTTCAATCAATAAAAAAAATATACTCTTCAAAAATTGTAGGTTCAAATAGCATATGCCATACACTGTCCAAAACAAAAGAACAAGAAAATATCTATTAGCCAACCAAAAGAGCAGAGTAATAAATAAGTTATTACCAATGCCATCATTTTCATAATCATTACACTGGTGAGAATAAATCTAATGCTCTCCAAAACTGATGACATTCTTGACTGTTTCAAGGAAAAAGAAAACAAAATAGTCCATTTTGTTTACGCATTTTGCTTTTTAATTTCATGCCACTTTTAAAATTTTTTAAAAATATCTATAAAAAAGGCAGACTTCTTAACCCCAAAAATATTTCTGGTCATATACCAAGAGGAAATATTTCCCATCCCTTAACCCAAAACCCTTTGAACACGATTGGCAAAAAATAGATTTATATATATTTATATATTAACAGCAATAACTTACCATTCATTTAACTTAATTTGTTGACTTGCACATGTAGTATCTCCCATAGGAAGTTCAGTTCTTTTCAATTACATAAGAAAAATATTAAATAATAATAATAATAGTAATAATAATACTATCGATGACAGCCTTTGTAAAACCTAGAATTGCTACCAAACCCTGGCAATCATGACAGTTCTTTGAGCACTGCAACATTACATCAAATCTAATGAGTGATTCATATTCGACCCCATATCTTGGTTATCTGTCAGCATGTCCTTTGTCCCTTGCCCATGCAAGGCTCCCATCCCACCTAGCTGTGAAAGCATGGTACTCTGGTCTCCTCCAAATGAGCCCTGGTCCATCGCATTAGCCTGTTGCTGCGGTTGTTGCTGTGGAGGTGGGTGTGCAACCATGCCACCGTGATGCTGAGGAAGATGACCTGGGTGAGGGGAACCCATCTGGGTCTGCGGTGAGATGCGATGGGGTGAAGGCTGGGGCTGCAAGCGAGGAGATGGACTAGAGTTTGGCGGCTGGGACTGGGGCCGAGGCGACGGCTGGGGTGAGCGGACTTGGTTGCTTAGAGAATTGGGCAACTGCTGGCCCTGCAAATGGGGAGACTGGGAGATCTGTTGCTGGGGCTGCTGAGGGCTCATGGGATTGTGTTGAGAAGGAGATCCTCCTCCTAAGTGTGACTGTTGTTGCTGGAGGAGCCGTTGCTG